AAAAATCCATTTGACTGTGTCAGAGTATGTCGGAACGTGTCGGACACAGTCAAATTCGCATGTCGAAATGGTCAACGTGTCGAGAATGTTGACCGCGTGTCGGAGTGTGTCGGACACGACACTCCCTGTTTTTTGGAGTGTCCGTCTATAGCTCTTCAATTTAAAAAAAAGCACACAATTCAAGAAAAGTATAACATAAATATCTCAAAATTGATGGCTCTTTTCACAAAACAAAACATATCCAATCCAATGTCTCGTTGCTCCTGACTATCAACAACCATCAAAAGCATGGAATAGACGTACTTGGCATCGTTGTGACCATTATGTGCAGCAATTTTCAAATACGTTAAACCCAAATTTTCTCTTAAAGAACAACAATTTTGTTGGAAATATATAATCATCCCTTCGCGGTACATAACTTCTGCGTTGGTATATTTAATTTTCAATTTCAAATTTCTAACAGACTGATTCAAAATTCAAGGGAGCAGTAAAAGGAATTGCATACAAAACGTCACCATTAATAATATTAAAACATGTTAATTATAATTTGGTATAATTGGGAATTTCAAACGACATCCCAAACAAAAATTGTGCCAAACATTTAATTAAACGGTGTCTGCAAAGAACTATTTGAAACTACAAAATAAATTTCATAACACGTCCTGATTTTTTATTTCCTTTAACACTGAAAAACGTATTACTAAAGTCACATGAAGATTTTGCACAATGAAGAAACGAAGTTGATAACAAAATATTCAAAACAATACGTAAACAAAAACGACAAAGGTGGACACACGATCAATGTTAAACAAATGATAAAAGGTAATATAATAAGGAAAATGTTCATAGATCAATACAACAATTAAACTAAAACATAGTTATAATGAAACAGGCAGCAAATGTTGAACAGTTACAAATTTTTTGTCTACTGCAAGGTGTCACCAGCTTCAGCATCAAAACTGTGCAAAAATAAACAACAGAGGACACAAAGTGAGAAAATCAAATTATAAAATTTGTAAAGTTTGTAAGACCAACACCTCTACCAAAATACAGTTCAATAGTAAAATTAACAGTAAGAACTTAACTCTTTCTCCAACTTAATCTTTTTAAGAGGACGGACAACTGAACAATTATTTTTGTCTTCAACAACATCACTATACTTTACAGACGGTGTCAACAGAGACAGAGAAATATCAGCATCACCAGTACTCTAACAGATTTGGCTCTGAACATCCTGTCAACGAAACCATTTTATAAGTAATTAAAAGACGTTGTGGAATAAAATTATACAGTAATCAAATTTTAAAATTATGTTAATAATTCTAACTCACCATTGCTTTTGCTGACCCTACCGATACAATATTGTCATCACAAGCACTGTCAAATACAGAATCATCCTGAATTTTTTTTTTGTAAATGAAACAAAGTCAAAACGCATGAAAAGTCCAAAGACAATTAAAAAGTGAAGAAATGTTAAATTAAAAACAACATACATTTGGATCCGCCGTGGTCTTTAGAAATGATGTGATAATACATTCAATGATGCAAACTTTGGCCACATGATATTTTGGCTTATTGTAGGCGTTCAAATTGCTTATTTTCACATTCACTTTAAATAACATGGATCTATCTTTGAGAACGTTCAACTCTTTCGGATAATGCTCCAAATCCGCACCCTACAAAAAGAGTATATTTCCATATATTTTTAACAAAACGAAATACCAAGCAGTAGAATACCTCACTGTTATAAAAATTAAAAGTTTTGAGAACCAAACCCGCTTGAAATGTTGCTTGCGTAATTCACCAGCACTCACTCCTAACAAAGCAAGTCAGTCTCTATCAAACAGTACAAAAGAAGCAGAATCGGTGTTATCAACAACTCTGACCTGAACACTGAACCTAAAAAGATTAAGTTGTAATTTACATCAGTAACACTGAACCTGCATGATTAACTTTAAAAAAACGACAGCAAACAAAACCCTCCTTACTTTGAATAATATTCATCTCAATGTTTCTGACAGTTCTTACAATACCATTTCTCAAAATCTTCACACACTTAATATGGACATTTCTTACAGGACTTGTACCACCAATTGTACTTACTTTCGATGGATTTAATAGTTCCATAAGTAATGCAAGTAGTAACATCACTGCAATTCTTAATATCAGTAATAAACTTCCTTTCTGTATCTTTTAGAAAATCATTTTCAAAAGAATATGAGGATTGGCTGGACAACTGAGTCAACCTCTGACTACTTTCGATCGGATCACCCGAAATCCTGAAATATAAACATATATCCAAAAATTAGTGCATACTGCAAAAGCAATGCCTCCTAAAAAATACTGCAGCAAACCTTTTTTTGAAATCTACGATCTCAGGCACATTGGAATCAAAAATTATTTTCGTCGTATACTTTGTATTAGCTATTCCATTTTTTCCTACAAAATTTGTAAAAAATATTCGAAATAAATAAAAGAAGAAAGAAAAAAGTAAAAAAAAAAAAAGAATACCCCTAAAACCTAATCCTTGCAAGCTGAAGTATTATAACATTTTGGGCACTCTGATTATTTGCTAAGAAAATTTGGACCTCATCTACGTAGGACTCCCACAAAGTGCTCTGACCTCTATTATGTTAGTGGTACAAAAGAGATATAAGAAATCATGCAAACTTTCAACATTATTAAATTGAAAAACACGTAAGAAATTAAAAAAAAAACATCAAAAATATGCATAACATAAATATCTCAGATTGTCAAGCTCCACGACAACCATTCTTGTTTTCCTACCAGAGATGACATGTTCACGGATTTCCCCAATTCCAGACAGCAAACCAATAACGTCTACAGAATAAGTAACATGGATTCAGCATAACCTCCTACATAAAAAATCTTAAATGAAAATGAATAACACCATAGACAAAACAATCACCTATTAAATACGGGGAGTCAGACGATTCCTTCTCAATAACGTCAAATTCAGCAAAATGAAAACCGTGCTCAGGAATAGTAGCATCAACAATGGATTTCACATCAGTCCTCAAGTTGAAAGCCAAACGATATTCATGCCGTGTTGGCCTGAAATTACCACTATTCAACCCAACTCTATTTTTTTTTATAAAATAAGCATCTCCCTCGCGAATTTTCTTTCGAACATGCAAAAAACCCTTCGCCGTAGCATGGATTCTTCCACCCTATAAAATGAAAGCATGTACTATATCAATCAAAAAAATGACAATGCAGCTGCCGAAAAGAAAAAGACGATAAAAAAACGAACAAAACCATATCAACATTGTCATCAAAATCTTTTGGATTAAAACTGGGAACCTTTCAACACCTAACCACGCGCACTTTAATCCTCCAATCTTCTTTCATAGGATTAAGATCCTTTATGAAATCGTACTTCGAATACATTATGCTGAACGATATAATAATAGGAGAAGAAGAGAAACAGACCAAAGAAGTTGAAAGTAAAGTTCCTCGCTGTGATGCAGACCAAAAGGCAATTTGCAGCACAATATTTCATTTTTATACATAACAATTACCCATGCAATCAATAAAGCCGCCTCCATTTAAATCATTGTATAAATTTTAAATTTTTCCCACCTATTTCAAATTTCAATTTTGAATTGAGAAGATCATTAATACAGTTGTTTGCCACCAAGTATTTTATAATTTTAGAGACTCTCCCTATATTTTATAATTTTTTATTTACGAAATAAAAAACATTTCCAAAAAAAGTAACTTTTCAAACTATCTCCAGTGTGAACACAAAGCTGAGAATTAAGGAGAAAGTGACACATTATCAAAGTTTTCAAAGTTTGGTTCTCCTTTCTATATATTAAGATTCATTTTTTTACCTTCAAAAGTCATACCACTACGACTTTGAAAATTTTCCATCACTATGATGGATAATGACAAATGGTAATTTGAACTCATTTTTGAAGGAAGAATGGATGATATAAAGGGAAAAGATGAATTGTAAGTGGTGAGCTGAAGGGTTACATATGAGAATGGGGAAGGGGTTAAGTGGGATGGATGACCAATATTGTGCCAAATGGCATCATTTTGACATTCTATTTAGGGTAAGTGTCAAGATTGGTTGTTAGATGTGATCAATGACTAAGGGAGTGTCTCATGGTAGCACCTTGACAGTTTCACAAGGTAATCACACAACGTTAACACCCTGGTCTTACTTGTGGGATTAGGGAGTGCAATTCAATCATATTGATAAATAATTTTCATAAAAATCTATTTCAATAATTTTTTAAATTAGTGCTAATCCACGAAAAATGGTTGTGAAGCAGGTCTTAGGGCCATGGCATATTGAAAGAGACATGAGGCTCATTATTTCAACAACTTCCTTGTTCTCTCTCTACCTCTTTCCTTTAAGGTTGCGTTGACGGATGTTAGACAAGCATATTGCAAGATATCATTAGATAAATATAGTATTAGTGTATCACACGATAATTGGTTATTTGATGACTAATGGACAAAATTAAATTTTTTGTGGTGTTTATAAATGAAATAACCACAATATATTGTAATACCTTTTGTTGTGCACTGTTTTATGCCCAACGAAGCCAAAATAGTGAAAATTCAAATATCATTGATTTTTTTTTTTCTAAAAAAAACAAATAGTTAAAAAGTACGTTATAGGAAGGGTTTGGTGTTTGTCAATTTTAAATGACATAATTTATGTCATTTTAGGAGAGAGATAGACACAGAAAAACGGAAATCATGATAGAGAGAAAGTGAGTGATTTTTTTTAATTTAAAATTCAAATTTTCTGTGTCTGTATCTCTCTTAAAATGACATAACTTTCTGTCATTCAAAATGACAACCATTCTTCCGTTACACGAAACCCGCTTGCTTTCCGTAGAGTTGAGTCGCACTGGCCCAATTATAAAAGCCCAATCCATCGGCCTGCAAAATTAAATGGTTATTATTTGTTTATATAATTTCCCAAAACCTGGTTCGTTGATGTTCGCACTGAGCATGGAATTGTGAGTTGCAGCATAAATGGAGGACTCACAAAACCTGTCATTGTTTAATGAAACTGGCATATACTCCTTTGAAGATTCCAACGCCGTTTTCGTGGATCCCGTCCGCGTTCTAAATCGTTCCTATAACCGCTTCAGGGTTTCTCCTTCTACCTACTATCCTCGTTTCTTCGAACCCCGAAACCCCAACCCTGCCTCCTCCACCACCGTTACCTCCTCTCCCACAAAACGAAAACGGAAACGGAAAACGAAAGAACCTCAACCTCTGAACGAGAGAGAACTAATTTCCCTACAGCGTCATCATGAAGCGAGGCCATTGTTGTTGAAGGCACACGAGTGTTTGCTAAAATCACCTGCACTCTTGGATGCTTTGAGCAATTTGAGAACTGATTTTAGTTCCTCCAAGAGAGAATGCCAGCGTGTCCAAAACTCTTTCATCGAACTATCACAGCTAGAGCCCCTTCTTGAGGTCACGCTAAAGTTACGACCCCGTGACCCTGACCCTGACCCTCACAAGCCGCCAAACAATTTAGATAGCGTGCAATGCTGTGAAGAGAGGTTTCTTCCTGCATTCAATAATTTGGTTGCTAATGACACTAACGATGATGCAGTGGCTGAAATTTTGAACAATCGTTATGTATTACCTAGAGAGAGTTGCTTTTACATGGTATGTTAAATCTTCCATAATAAGTGTTTGGATGTGTTTGCTTTTCAAAGGTTCATCTTTTTCATTAAGGAAATCAATTAAACGTTTAACCCCAGATCCAATGGAGTGTGTCTTACATTTTTTTATTTTTAATATTTATTTGGTTTCATATTTTGAAGTCTGATCTGGGACAGATTCGCAATCTAATTCCTGGTAATGGTTGCATATATAGCTCAATTTTATTTCTTGTTATATGCCTCGGTTCTTCTTCACATGGGGTAGCTGTGTAGTTGTTCATTGATATGAAAATTTAAGCGCTTATTTTTATGCCACAATCACCTTCATCAACGGTAGCCCAGTTGCTGAAGTTATTTATGTGGCATTTCGTAGAGAGTTTATTTGTGGTTAGGTGACCATGTAAGGAGGAACCAGGTGTTGTCTATCATATTTAATTGGTGTTTCCTTTAATTAATTTATGCAGCTGATGCTGATTCTGGTTTCAACCTCATAGTGATTGATCCACCATGGGAAAATGCTAGTGCTCACCAGAAATCAAGGTATATAAAAAGCTGTACTATGTTTTGGCTGATGTAGTATTTACAAATGTCCTATACCAGATATTGTCTGCTTAAATAAGAGATTTCTATTCCAGGTAATTTGGCCTTGCGTTGCCTCTAACGTATGCCCTGCTTCTCTTTGTTCTTTATTGTTCTGGTACATCTTATCTTTCCCACAAACCTGTTAAGAGGTTGCAACCCTTTTTTTCTAATTTTAATTTATTTATGAATAACTATAATATTGTTAATGACGATAGCTTTGTGACTCGCTGATGAACTTAATAGCTGTTACTCGGTTTAAACTGGCTGGGAAATGCAGCTTATTTGAAAGAAATCTTAGATATGATATGTCATCAATGTAGGTACACAACCTTGCCCAACAGGTACTTTCTATCCCTTCCTATTAAGCAACTTACTCACACCGAAGGAGCACTTGTAGCCTTATGGGTGACCAACAGAGAGAAGCTACTTAGTTTTGTTGAGAGAGAGCTTTTTCCTGCTTGGGGAGTGAGCTACGCTGCTAAATTTTATTGGTTAAAGGTGATCTCACAGTTAGAATCCTCTTTGCTTGGCATACAAGTGTGTAATGCCATTCCAATTTCTGGTATGTGTTGTGTATTGCAGGTGAAAGCAAATGGATCCTTGATTAGTGATTTAGATCTCTTTCATCATAGGCCATATGAAAGCCTTATCTTGGGATACAGTCCTGGGAAGGTCAGTTTTTGCAATGTGTAATTAATAGGCCTTCTGGGTATAATATCCCCCCCCCCCCCCCCCCCCCCCTCCTCCTTCTCTCTTGCTTTGTTAATAGCTCTCATTTATGTTCTTTTGCACTTTCTAGGTTAAAAATTCTGATAACGAATCAAAATTTAAACCTGTGAAGGATGATCATGTGATTATGAGCATTCCTGGGGATTACTCAAGGAAACCCCCAATTGCAGGTATTGTTGTCTGATTAATCCATGGTATTTTCACTTTATGAAGGCATGAGTAAATAAGTTGTATTGAAAGTTATCACATAATTTGAGTACTGAAGTTCCTTTTCTTCCTTCTAATGTGGTTAGATTTATTACTGGAGTACGTTCCTGGGCAAAAACCTCCCCGATGTATAGAGCTATTTGCTAGAGAAATTCTGGCTGGGTGGGTTGCTTGGGGAAATGAACCCCTTCACTTTCAAGATTCTAGATATTTTGTCAAAAGATGGATAGATGATACCTAAAAAAAGAGATCCTAATCCATGCTCATGTCTGAATTGACATCTACTATGGGAACAAAGATATGCTGAAGCTCTGCCTCTACTATGAGAAAGTGGCTTTAAGCTCTAGCAGGGAAGGTTTGCTCATTTCTGGGTATCCTGTGAGTATTTTCCATTTCGGCGCATAGGAGAACTGGATGGATTTGATTTTGTTCAACTGTCTATTGATATAATATAACTAGTATTTGGGCATGGAAAACAATCAAATAGATGGCATATTTATGAATGTATCAAATGGCTGTATCTAGTAGCAAATTTAAACATTTTCTGTGGAGGTATAGCAGACTCAAACTGATCATTTACGATGAAATGGTCTGAGTTATCATGCGTTATAGTTGTTCCTCAGCCATCTTATGATCTCGTTACCATCATATAATGAATATAATAGAATATTTTTTTTTTTGACTGTAAAGAACAATACATATTTTTAAAAATAACAAAATAAAGAAGATTAATTAACATCAAATTATCATTAAATAAAGAAAATTTAAATCTTGGGGTTTGTGGTGCACAATTTTTATCTGTATAACAATCATTTTATATAATAATAATAATATGATTATTATTTTAAGTGTTTTTATAATTTTTGAAAGTATTAATTTAAGGGAAAAATGTGTATCATTTTAAAGGATATAAAATTGTGTCATTTTAAGAGAGAGAAAGATAGATAAAGGAGGAAAGAGAGTTGACAAAAAAAAGTAAAGGTGTGAGTCTCATTTCTTCGTGAAAGTAAAATGATATAAGTTATGTCATTTAAAAGGATAAATATTTTTTGTTATTATTAATCAAAGGAATAAATAAATTTACTATAAAAATCAAAGTACATCAACGTTTATAAATATTTAAATGGTGTACATTAAAATATACTTTAAAAGTTTGTCTTTATAACTAACATATGACGGTAAAATAGCGGTAAAAATGGTGGTCCGTTATACGTAGGATCATATCATAAATGTCACTAGTAGCGGGTTATAGTCATCTTTACATTCCATTTCTTCCCCTAATACTTCTAGTTTGTGTCTCTGCCTTTAGGAAGTTAGGAAGTAAAAAATTCTGTTCCTCTTCAAAAGTCCAGATAGAAATATAGTTGGGCCTTGGGCCTTGGATGCGAAGAAACTCTTTTCACGTATTTTTGTTTTTCCTTCGAAAAGTGATTTAATTTTCTTAATTTTCAGGCATTGCGGGAAGCATTGAGCACCGAATTGGAGCTGCAATGGATTCGAAATCTTCAGCACCACCAGTGAACCCTGAGCCCAAGCCACCAAGTGTTTGCGTTGCACCAAAAACAAACGATAACAGAGACTTCCTGAACCACCTTGAAGCCTACCTAGCCAAGAGAGATGGCGTCGACAAGCTTCTCAAGATTTCTAGATACGCCGCGAAGCTGATCCTATCCTCTTCGGTTCTTCAATCGAACCCGAACTTCTCTCAACGCCTCAAGCGCTTCGAGTCCAGCCTCGGCGTTAGCCGAAAGGCCTTCAGGCTCGGCAAGTTCGTTCAGGACCTCAACACGCTCAGAAACTCGCGCGTCGATTCCAATCGCGAATTGATCCTGTACCTGATCGCTTACGGCGGGGAAGGTTTTTACTATTTTGTCGAACAGTTTGTTTGGCTCGCGAAATCGGGTTTGATCGATCCCAAACACTCACGCAGGTTGCAGAAGATAAGTGCTTGGGCTGAATTGGTCGGTTACTTCGGTAGTGTTGCGTTGAAATTAAGGGATTTGAGGGTGATTTCCGAGGACGAAGCGTGCTTGAAATCGAGTATTGAAATGGCGGTTTTGAGTGGGATTGGGTGCCGAGAAGAAGAAGCGAGGTTGAGTAAATTGAGAGAGAAGAAGTTGATGAAGAAGCTTTCAATTGTTCAAGACTTGGCTGATGGGTTAATGGCTGTAGATGATGTACTTGATGGGAAAGGACCATTTTCTACGCCAACTTTGATGTCTTCTGCGGGGCTTTTATCAGCTCTCATTAGCACTCACAAGAATTGGGTATCTTGCTGAGTTTTTTTTTTTTTTTTTTTTTTTATCTGGTGCGTTATTTAGTTCTAATGAAATTGTATGTACTCCAAGTAAAAGGTGCTTGGTTTATGTGATTTTAGTTTTAAAATTTGTTACTGATCCATCAATAAAATGACCATAATTCTACTTGTGCTAATGGTTTATTTTTGCAGAAATTTCTTTTGTATGCTTTTATATGTTCTTTGATTGAGACAATTTTGCAGCTTGCTAGATTTCCTTCATTTTATTATATATTAGCATCAATATTGTATCGTATTATGATTGTGGATTTCTGTTGGGAGCTAACAGTAAATTGCAACATGGAATGATTAGAGGGATGGATGGTACTTGACATAAAGAGTGTGGCTTTGTTTGCAGTTCCCATTGATTTATCTCAACACAACACTGAAATTTAAAGAGAGAAGGAAAAAATATTATTTGAATGCCTATGAAACTTGGTTTGGAATGGCTGTTGTTGGATGGAAGAAAGAGTTGGAGGGAGATGAATTTTACAGGGTTACTTTTTGCTGTGGACATGTAATATAGAATGAATTGGAATCATATAGTAATATTATGTCTGTTGTTACAAATCTATTGAAAATTGTTTCAGACTTGGAAGGGCATTTCTCTCGAATAGTTCTTTTCGTGTTTCTGTCTACTGTGAGCAGGAGGAAAGTTTACTTCATTAACCATTCCAGGTTCATCTTTCTTTTCTATATTAGCTACATTATTCAAGAAGACTATCACTGTCTGGCTAACCTGCATCTCTCCTACATGATGGGAAAGATGTCTGCAGACTGGCTTGCAAATTTTTATCTCAAACGTCCCTTGGATGTGTATTACTTCCCTCAACCCTGTTGATTTATTGCAACTTTTATAAGTTGCTATTGGAGAATGGGGAGTTTCTTATTTGAGAATGTCTATTGTTCAATTTGTAGACTTCTAATTACTAGGGGGGAAAAATGCCAAGGCGTTTTCAAATGATATTTTACTTATTTTGGTTTGCGTTTTTTAGTTTCTTTGCAAAGGTTTTGGTGTCATTATAGGGCTGTATTGCTTAAGGCAATAAAAAGAATATTATATTTTACTGCCTGGCAGTTTGCAGGATGTATGTACTTTTTTGGGCTTGTTTATCTGATTCTTTCATGTAAGTGTAACACTGTACCCCTTTTATACTTGATGCTACCCCTTTCTTGATTTCGATTAAATATACACCGACAAAAACATTGCTTCATATATATCTCTTTCCACAGATTAATGGCATCTGATTCTCATCTATATTACGTTTTTTCCATTATTACAAGACAAATGGTTTACCCAAGGCACTTAACATCTTTCGAAATAACTGGTCAACTGCTTTCCTGATGCATGCTGGTTGCAACTACTTATCATACAAATAAGTAAAAAAGAGTATCTATAATTTTTTTGTAACAGTATCCTATTGTTTGTGCTTGTAAAATGATATTACTGTTTGCTGGTTAGATAGCAGTATATCTGGATTGACTCAATTAAGACAGTTTATATTTAAGGTTAAGAATTTAATCTCTTCTCTACGGTGTGTAAAATTGGAGGTGTTGTGGAGAGTCAGCTGGTTTGGTGTCTTGCTAGTAGAACAGGCTTAGTAATTCTTTTTTCTTCCATGATTATTCGGTTTCTAGAGTCGGTGAACTTTAGCTCAAATGCAACGTTGGTACCTAGTGTCGTGGTGGTCATGAGTTCTAACAGCAGAACTGTTTGCTGACGGGTGAGACTGCATTCATCTTATAATATCCAGACCACATGGTATTGTTCTTGTTAGAATTAAACCTTGAAGCATTTCAGTTCTCCACAGCTATATTCATGTCTGTTGCAATTAGAATCTGGCCATGAAGGATTTCGGTATGCTACGTAGTACTGATATCCACTTTGTCCGGATCATGGATCTGGAAACGTATATTGATTGGAATCGTTGTTTGGAAGAGAAAGGCTTGCTTTAAAAATAATAATAACAAAAGAAAGTAGTACGGGACCGGCCTAAACTTCTGCGTGTCAAGTGTTAATACTCGTCTAATAGTGTAATGCTATTTATCACATGGACACAGGACAGTACTTAATGAATAGTGAACCTCTCAAGTCAAGTTGATCACCCTTAATTATTATTTTCTTGAATACACATATTTAGCGGTGATGATCTTCAATATAATCTTCGTTTGTGAAAAAATGTTTTCCAAGAAGAATTTGAGACAGGACCAATTTAGCAGACTGCCAATACATATCTATACAACCACTCAATAATATTAGTGATTATTTAGTTATTATGCTTTAAATTCTCATTAGATAGTAGGTTATTGGCCTGTTCTAGTTCTGATTGTGACAAATGTCCTAACTCATTTTAGAAATGCAAAACTTAGATCTGAATAGTTTGTTTCATGTTCCCTCAGGTTTGTTTTCCCAATGCTAATTCGGCTTTGTGGTCTGTGTATTCATGTATGATTCTATTATGTCGGGAAAGAAAAAGTGTATATAAAAATTCCTATGCAGAGTAAGTATTCATATTTGCGAATGTATCTGCCTTTGGATCCCACCTCAGGAGCTTCAGTGCGGTTTTCAGAGCAGAGACCTTCTGATATTATTTTTCTGGTTGATCAATTTGTTGAAGTTCTGGAGGAACCTCTCTAGTTTGAGGTGGTTTACTATATCGCTTCTGATTCTGGTTATTTTATGTATCGCTTTGGGAAATTTAGGCTGCACGTTTGTTATCTAGTAATGATTTTAATCTTGGTTAAGTGCGGAAGTTTTATATTGTAGGAGATTACATATTTACGAGCACGTAAATATGTAAAATATTTAATTTGATTTAATAAATCTTTTACCATACCAGCGAGGTTGTGTGATGAATTTCCTTGATCTTGCCCATGAATGTCATAGACATATCATTAAATAAAGACGTGTTTGCCATGTGAATATATATATATATATATATATATATATATATATATATATATATATATATATATATATATATATATAAAAGAATTTATATTTTTGTGGCTGCTATACGCACAATGTGCAGCAGTCAAATACTTGCCATATATAATTGTGGAGAATCATAATCATACATCTGTCATTGTTGTACGTAAAACGGCTGCAGAAATAATTTTACCATATATATATATATTTGGATACAAATGTGAGAATTGAACATATAACTTAATACAAACCTTACCACTAAACCAATCTTAGTTGCTTTTTGGCATGTGAATTTATCGTTTAAAAAAATGCACGGTACATTTGGCACGCTTCAATTTATAAAATCATATAAACTTTATATGAATTTATTTCACATTAAGAATTAATCTTCCGGTTTACAACTTCAGATATATAGACCATATTATCATAATAATTCCAAAAGAAATTGGATTGAATATGCTGATGCCCGTTACATGCTAGTGCATATTAAATTAAAAATAGCAGAGTGGTGATTCTTTCATTCAAAGTTTCTTCCATAGCACCGGAAGGATCATTCTTAGTTGCAAATTGACAGAAGGATGAGCCATATCAATGACAAACATAAAATGAAAACATGTTTAAAGGTAAAAGACAAAACAAAATGTATTTGAAGTTATGTGACGAAACACAAAATCTACTTACAAAAGACTAGCATAGAACAGAGTGGTACAATCATGCATTTCCAACCTTTTCAAAGCTGAAATAGTTTTTACCTTTCTTTCAAGGAACGATTAATGGACTTCCTTAATTCCAATGATGGCCACGACGATGACAAGCAGCCTCTTAGGGGTGACTGTAGAAACAGTGAAGATGTGGAAAGGTGCTTTTGACGCATTGAGATTGAGGACAAGCAATTGAAGGCACTTCGAAGCCTTCTCTTTTCACTATCATGAGGCTGATAATTAGGATCATGCTCCACAGCAGAAATTCTTAGAGCTTCGGGAAGAATGCAGTGGCAGATTGAACCTGCCACAAGGTCAACAACGATAATTAGTTAAGTTAGTTGGAGAATGTTATATTACTTAGAGGTTGTTGACTAGTTAGTTAGAGGATACTATCCATATAGTTTCACTGATAGTGTATAAATAGTAGAGGGATGACATGTTAATGGCATAGTTGAATTTGTATGAAAAGTGAAAACAGATCATTGTTCATAGTTGGAGTCTCTCTTCCTCGACTCAAATAAGGGAACTTTATTCTATCCGTGCCTTTTGACTTCACTGTTTATTATCTTTCAGCTAAATAACAACAACCATGCACGTGGAGATGGAACAGGTGTCTCATAAACCACCCTTGTTAAATTAGTCTAAGCATCAATGCCTATGAAGTGAACTCAGAGGAGGGAAAGGAAGCCAACAAAAGATTGAATTAGGAAAGGGTATAACAATAATTACGCAAATTCTTTGTGAAAGCAAATGATTCCTGTCTAGTACTCTAATAACTAAATTCCTGATGAAACAATCTATTGGTATCTTTAGGGCTTTGTGTAGCATTTGTAAGGGGAAGGAAGGGATAGAAACAATTGAAAATGCACAAGAAGGAAGATGTTCAAAACTAAATATCTGTCCTCAAAAGCTTATGTTAGAGAAATATAAAAACCATTAATATATCCTCACCTATCAGCTTAAGCTTTTGGATTGAATTGGTTCTTTACATGTTATCAGAGCCTCGATATTACGGGTTCGATCCTCACTGCCCCCCATTTAATTAAAAATTAATTGAGTTATGTGGAGTTTCTTAGAATAGGTAGGTGAACCTGTGCATTTTTCATCCTTCAAGCTCAGTAGGCTCTCGTGTGAGGAGGCGTGTTAGAGAAATATAAAAACCATTAAGGTAGCCTCACCTATCAGGTTAATCTTTTGAGTTGAATTGGTTCTTTATAACTTGGACAATGTGGGGACTTGGGATGTTTTGGAGGGTTAATTGTAACACCTTTATTTCTTTCCCCTCCTTTGAAAAATCTCCCAAACACGAGAGATTTTGCTACAAAACCTTACATTCCCTCCATCCAAACACATTGCAAAAGTCAACTAACATCTGTATGAAACAAGTTGTGGGAAATGGAGAAAATACCTAGTCTGGCCAGCCGATTTACCCATGTTGGGATTGATTTCCCCGTCAGCTTGTAGCAGATATCCTTGCAGAAGTGGTTGCAGTTCTTAACAATTAAGTGATATGTATCCCCATTGTAACTTGCCGACTGCCTAGCAATGAACTCCCTAACCTGAACAGGATCCAAGGATGTGGTTCCTATGAATATTGACTTCCTGAACTTGAAGCCTGGACATTGCCGAGGTTCGACCTCAAAAACACCACTTGTTGGGTAGTCATGAGCTCCAAATGCATATTCTACACCATGAACTGTGAAATACAGAAGGTTTATCAGATAATAGAAGTGCTCATTCCAAACTCAGTAGAAGATGAAATTCACACTTAAATGACATCAAGTACTTTATATTCCTCGAAAACGACATCAAAATTCAAGAAATAGAAGCCTAAAATTATACCTTCTACACCAGAGTGATAGATACCAAGACCAGCCCAATACATATAACCATTCATGGGTGTCAAGTCATACACATTCAGATAAACGGGTGTTTTGGCAGGTCCATAGCTAGCTGAATTGACTTTGCGAAACAGAGAAAAACGGGTGGCTGATTTTCCTTTCAAATGAAGAGGCACAATAGATTTCCATCCTTTCTTAGACTTCAATTTCATCTTTCCCTAAAGGGAGCACCAACATATTACCTGCATCAAGCAAACATTCGAGAACGAGCATATATCATCTGTTTATGTTCACATCTTCTATTCATAAGAATAGTAAACTCTAAGCTAAGATTTAGCAATTCCTTCCATTTCTGAAGACAATAAACTTATTTGCTCATTTTTAAATTTTAACAGCGGAGTTTTATGGTATAAATTTTTCAGCAGCAACTTCCTTCTTATGAGATAATACAGGAAATACAATTAAAGATGCCTTCAAATTTTGATGACTGCACTATTATTAAGAGGGGAAATAAAAAACCTTACAAATTGACACAGAATCCATAGGCTTGCACGCATGTTAAACAAACTTAATATTCAATCTAACTTCACCAATCAAATCTTAGTAACCAGTGAACTCTCTCTCTTACTGTGCAGCTTATTTACCGGAAAAAGGCTACAAGTCAAACTAAAATTTCAACTATTTTATGGTTAAATTATAGCAAAAAGAAGATCCCAACAAACTTCTGTAAGATATGATAACTTGAAATGACAAGGGCACATTCAGTGCTGAAAACTTTGCAATTTTCCCCCCCTTATTTCAGAAGATCTTCTAAATATTTCCCAGATGGAAAAGACTCTAATAGATTCTTAATTTTAAGTAAAAACAGCATCTTGGCCACGAATATATGATGCAGAAACGAGGAGCATACCAGGATTAGTAGCAGAACTTGTTAGTGTTATGATTTCTCAAAAGGGTTGTGAGAGGAACTAAATTGGGTACTCAGAAAGGGAAGGTTCCAATTTAAACACAAGAAACAAGAGGGTTTGACCTCACGGCACATATATTGTAAGGTAAGTTCAGATCTATAGCGGGTAATGCTAATGCAGCAGCAAAGAGAGCAGTTACCTCAAAAACAAGAACTAAATATTACAAATTCCTGAATGCTATTATTCTAACCCAAACTCAAAAGAATGAAAAACAAACAAAGCATTTGTACTTACAGCTACAGATTGAAAAGGTGTTGCCATTAGAGAGAGGAAAAAAAAAAACTCACAATGTTCCTCAAAACAACGAAGTGAAAACTCAAACACACGGAGAAGAAAGATTGAAGTGCGTTTTGAGAGTTAGATGTGGGACAGGAGCGAGGGTCACTCCAAAAACATGTTTAGTTTTAGTGTTAACTGCTTTCAACTCAAACCATTGTCAACAAACACCCAAAACTTTGCAAAAACATAAAACAAAAGGATTAATGTAATTTTTATTACTATCTTGCCTGCGTTGCGCGAAAACAACTTCTTCTGTCAGTGTAAGGAAAAAACATTATTATTCTTCCAATAAAAAAAGAAAAAAATAAAGATTTTTTTTTTAAAAAAATACTATGTATGGCAATATTAAAAAAGTACATCGTTTAATAATTAACATATATAGGAAAGTGTTATTTAAGTATTTATGCACTTTTGACTTTTGTCTTATAATTTAATACATATTTAACGTTAGATGAAGTGTTTTATAATAAGAACATTACTTTTATAGGGTGTTCACCTATAGAGACTTTTGTCTTATATTGTAATACATATTTGACTTTTTTTTAAACAATACATTAATAAAACTCTTTGTGTTTTCGTATTTAATTTTTAAACTTTAACAAAAACTAAATTGCTAATAAATAGTTGCTCAACTCTAAATGTCATTTGCTCATGTACTAAAAAATTGGCATTTACTCAAAATAAATTTCATAAATTTTATTATTACTTTTTAAAAATTTCAACTTGTAATTATAATAAACTGGTTGGTTTTATATTCAATTAACTCTCTAATAATCTCTGATGGGTAAGTTATGTCTTTATTTTTCCTAAATATTTAAGTTATCAAAAGTAAAGTCAAAGTGAATATAATGTTAAGAAAATATAAATTCATTTGACTATATTACTCTCTTTACTTCATTAATACTCTTCCATTTCACTTAATTGACATATGAAAATATAAGGATAAAGTTAGAAAAAGTAACTAATATATTCTTGAAGAAGGATATACTTATTATAAAAAAATTTTATTCTTTACAATTAATTTAATCACCGTTGATTTTCGTCAATTTAATGATTATAATTTATGGAAATTAATAATTAATTAATAAATACGACTCAATAATTTCCAATAAATTATAATCGTTAGATTTACAGAAATTAATGGTGATTAGGTTAGTTGTAAAAGTTGTAAACTTTTTTGGTGATAAGTATATTCTTCCCATATATTTTTAATTTAATATAATATGACAAATGATTTGAAATAAATTGAATATTTATAATAATAATTCTAAATAGAAGAAATATATAAAACTAATCAATTATTAAAAAATTATTTTAAAAAATTTAGTAATCCAATCTTCTTTGTTTATACGCTAGTATTGCGCCTCTTTGCTGTCAAAGTATTTCTTTGGCTCTATATTCCACGGGCGTCATGTGTTGTGCCTTTCCTTGTATTTTCTAATTTTCTTTCCTCAGTCTGGCTTTAATTTGTTTTTTCATTGCAGTTTTCAATTTCGGTTGGATTTTCTGTCCACAGATGTAAAAATTTAAAGGTTTTAATATTTCTATTTTTATTATCGAATTTTTTTCTGTCTTAATCATATAAAAATGAGTGTATTTTTTTTTGGTACAAATTTTCTTTTCTTTTCTTTATAATAGGGGATTCATTCACTTTTATGTAAGTATAATAGAAAAAAAATTCTTCTAAAAAAAAATATTTTTCTAAACTAAAAATACAATCTACTATAAAAACTAAAAATACATGGAGATGGAGACGTCCCATTAATGCAATGTGATGCAAGAGTGCGCTGGGATGCATCAAAGAGGTCATCAACCAAGTTCATCGTCAGCATTAATGACAGTCAACTGAACAAAAATTATAAGGGAATAATGATAGAATATTGTACCATACAACAGACAAAAAAATGGATGATCCACTAAGAAGAAAAGAGAGAACTCAACCATTCATATCAATCAAAATCATACAATTAATGAGGAGAGAGGAGAGAGAAAAAATAAAAATAATTTTTTGTCTAAGTGTCACCTCTTGAGTAGAAGGACCACCACGTGAGAGGCCTGGAAAATAAAAAAAAATTTCATTTTTATATGTGCATGAGATAAAATTATTTCGTAACATCAAATATATATTTCCCAAAATTATATCTACAAATTCAACAAAGATTTAATAATCTAGTCACAACTGACTCTTCATTTATAATTTAACTTGTGCATAGATAAAGAATCAAATTCAGACAATAATAATACAAATGGACTAATTGTTTTTTTTTTTTTTAATTTATTTGCCGGTTCCACAATTCATCGATTAATCAATTAATTTAGATAAATAAAATAATATTATAAGGGTTATAAAATTTTCCTTACTAAATTTTTAATATAACTGTATATCAAAATTAGAATTTGAAATCAGTTATCAAGCTGCAATAATCTCGTATCAATTAATTAATGCTTGCTGGTCAAGTCGACCACTTTAACTCTACCCTTCAAAGGAATCACATTATTGCAAGGCCTTGCAAGAATATTTAAAAAAAAAAAAAATCATAAATGAAAGCCTGAGTAGAAGAGACTGAGAAGGGGTCCCAAATCCCAATTCCAAGCATGGGTTAGCATGCTACGAGTGCCAGAAATGTATAAGACTGTAAGGGCACGTAGGGTAATTGGGGGTAGTTTCTCGCTTTTTTTCATACAAGCTTTGATACTTGGACGGCATGACATGAAGCCAGAAACAATCTTTGATATTTGGACGGCATGACATGAAACCTAAATCACTCTCTTGGTTACTCTTATCATGCCAAGCTAAACTATTGATTTTTTGGTACAATCACAATTAGGTCAAACCTCAATTCATCATAATGAATGGGGTTCATGCCATATTTACACCCAAAAAATTAATAGATGTTTATGGACTCTCTTAATTCATTCTTAATGAATGTGAAACTGAACCCCTTATACTTAAATTCCCACCGTTACTATTCCACAAAACATATTCATTAGGAATATTGTGTCTGGTAAAAACTTGCAATATATATGACACATCAACCACGTTATTAGAGTAAGATTGTAAAAAAAAATAAAATTCTTAGGTGAGTTTGACTATAAATAAGTAAATACAAATGTACAAATTATTAATTTAATTTAAAGTATATTATAATTTTAACGTATTAGATTAAATCGTACGGAAAAAACAAACTGTTGTTCAATAGTAAAAATGATTAATTGTATCAATTTTTTAGATGTTTAAATCAGTTGATTAAACGATTAATGAATTATAGTTAACAATTAGTAATTTATAGTTAACAATATCGAGTACCCTTCCGATTGGAAATTGGACAGCGCAATCCATGCATTAGGTTAAGTGGAGCTTCAAGAAAATTTCATTATTGCTTTGAATTATCAATAACGCAGCAATAACGGTGTTAATGGGCCGAGTCGAGCCGAGTTTTGATCTTAAAAGATTAAATCTGTGTTTAAATGTGTCAGTTTGACCAAGCCTGTTACCTGTTATAAATATAATTGTTGGCCTGTGGCCTAACTTATTTACAAAAAATAAAAATATGATTTAGCCTATTAACCTGTTTAAAAAAAAATAAAACAACAAAATTTATCCAAACAGAATATACAATCAACAACACTATTAATTTTATAAATTCAATGTATATCCAAGCAGCATAATATAGAACAAAATCTTCAAAAAGTATGTTTAACCAATAAAATGAGGTGAAATGAACTGAGCAGAAAGAGAGGGCTATTACAAGTAGTATAAAAATATAAAATAAAAAATAATATATTAAGCTAGCCTGAGAGGCTTTAAGGCCGAGCTTTTGAATTGGAGCCCGTGGCCTTTTTACTAAAGGAGCTTTTATACAATTTCAAGCCTGGTCCAACAACTAATTTTAGATATGTAAGCTCAGGTCTTTACAAGTCAAGCTAAAGACCCCTAGTTCGTTTAGCACCCCTAGCAGCAAACAGGGGATTCGATGTTCATTCGAGTAAAATGATGTTTTGGTCCATGTAATCAATTTTAAATTCTTAATCATCTTATTTTCTTCTTATCCTTCTTATAGATATATATACTAACTTTCATTTTAATCCTCCAGAATTATTTTGTCTCATTTTTATCTGTCATAGTAGGTTGATTGACGCTTTTGTCCTAGTTTTTTTTTTTTTTTAAATCTTTCATTTCATCTCCCTTTCCAAACTATATATTAATCTGTCTCTATTTGACTATGTTGACCACAAGTTACTCGAGTAACTGAGCCAGATACTCCATTAAGTGACTCACTCAATTAACTGACCCAGTTACTCGAGTAAATCAACCAAGTGGGCAACTGAAATTAGGATCTACAAAATTTTTTTATTCAAATCAAATTCTAATTTCTTGTACATGTATATAAAAATAGACTTGTGATGAATGTTTGCGATGTAAAATAATTGAGGGTAATCTCCATCCAAACTCTTTATACCCTAAAATGGTGTAAACTTTGGAAGAGAATAACTTTTAGCTCGGTTGTCCGAATCAGATTTTTTTATTTATTTCTCATAACTTTTCAAGATCTATGCGATGACAAATCCCGAATTTTTTTCTAGAAAAATGCTTCCTTCGTGGCTTTAGGGAATGCAAAGTAAATGAGCATAAATCTTTAAAACAAAGCCACATGAACATAAATATGTATATAAAACTCAGTGTAGTAAATTTAGTTGAGAGTATAAAAAGCTTGGATGAAGATTGTTTTCAATTGTTTTGGATCCTCGAACCCATATATGAAGTTCAAATATGTGTGTGCATAATATAAAAATAAGCATGGATTAATAAAAAATGAACCCAATTTAACAAGTCATATTAAAAATCAACAGAAAATCCTATTTTGACACCTTAAATTAAATGACGATTGCCCTCAGTTGTAAAGGACCTACAAACACCCATCTCAAGTCCATTTTTATATGTATAAAACATCAAAACTTGGTTTATATTTGCAAATCCAAATTTGAAAATATAAGTCATCTATTTTCCTGAGTTATTCAAGTAACTAGGT